CAGTACAGGTTAACAGCAGTCAAGACCGAGAAAAAGAGAAGATATGATTTTCTTGCTAATAAGCTTGGGTCAGAGATGAAATTCAGGACCGAAATAATTCCGTAATGTGATGACCTGGATGGGATAGTGAAGAATTTTCACGAACGCTATGCGAAGGAGATCAGTATATCTGATCACATTGAGCATACATTCAATCGATAGTTCTCAAAACGCTCGAAAGCATCTCCCTCAATAATCAATATGGATTCCTGGAAAACGATGAGCACAACAAACCTGAGTGCGGGACAAGTACTGCTAGAGTGCCGGAATGCGATACAGTGGCAGAACTAATAAAGCGAAAATTAAAACTATCCTCCACATTTATTTTATTTTATGTATAAGAATATCAGAGTATCATCCTCTATAATGGTTAACTTGTTGTTATCGATTTTTGATCGAGAATGAGTAAAGAAATATTTTGTAGTCAGCAGCACGCTATTCAAATGCAGCACTATAAGGAAGCGCGTAATAAGATGGATATAGACCTAATTTCTGCTTTACAAAAACCTGTGAGAAAGAAGCGTGAAAGTTGAAAATGGGCTAAATAAATTCAGAACATCTAAACTTTGATATCATTGTCAGCAGCTGAATAGTTCCAAACTTGAGCTTTTGCTTTTTAACAACCTCAAATGCCAAAATATCGCAATTATATATACATACATCACCTTTTCTTTGGGATTTATTCATCAACCAAATTCTTCAATCCTACTTTTTCATTTTTTAAAATATGCCTATCTTTCATAAAAATTTCGCATCATGATGCTTAGGAGAAATTAATTAAATCCACATGGTAAAAAACGAACTCAGTGAAAATTTATCGATTCCGCAGTGCGCTTCATGGTATCAGGAGATCATTTCACATCACAATTTTAATTTTATTTAATTTAAGATGGACATGTGGAGAATTATAAGGTTAAATATATCAGATTTATTTCGAATAGTTCTAGACTTTGACTACATTTACTATTTAATGTTCTAATAATCAATAGTCTTTACATTTTGTTCATTATTCTATTTTAGGAGTTTGCCAGCGGACAGCCATGCAAAAACCACGAAATTATTGGGTTTGAAGCACGCAACTGTTTGGCAGATGATAATTCAAAATGTGTGGGACCATTCTTCCGTTATTGTACGATACCATGCTAATTTCTAGAACTTTAAAAATTTAATGAAAAAAAACAGAATGAATAGTAATTACTGGAACAGGGATGAGTTCTTGCAACACTATGTACGTAGTCAAAGTACTACTCATTCATTAATTTACATGAAGAATGTGCGCGAGTTGAATATTTATACTCTGAATTATCAGTTTCTTTTTAATTCAATACAGGACGACTCTGTCATCACTATCAATAAATTTGAATGCAGACTTTTATGCGATGCGCGCAAAAAACACTAGTCAATGAACAATTTTCAAACAATGGTTATTTACTATTGAATATTTAAAATTTTTGCATAGAACCACACTTGAAAGGCGTTCCCGCAGAAGAAGTGATGTGAAAGATAGGAGAATTAAACAGAAAAAAAAACTGATCAAATGATTGACTTGTGTTATTGATTGTGACTGAAAGAATGGTAATCAAAGATCAAAAATCTTTCAGTTTCCCTTAACGATCTAATTCACTGATTTTGCAATTTGCCAAATATCGAGTTGAAACATTGATCAGTAAACTGATTACAAAATCATTTTTAGTGAATAGCTAGAATTCATGCAAGCTAGCTGAATGATTAATGACTTGCTACTTTGAATGACTGCATCTCCCTGATGCAATATATTTATTTAACCACATGTTGCACTCAGAGTAATCTCTCCCAAGAGTAGCTCGTCAACTGTTTCAATGAATTTAACATTTCTAACTTTTTGACTTGGTTCAGATACGGCATAAGAATATTTCAACTCATAAAATTACCAAGTACAAGCATACACAGTAGTTTAAGAATACAATTTGAAAGTATTTACAAAGTAGCCAGAAATGGTAGATATCAATAAGTTTATATGATTTCGGAACAGTTTTACTATAGAACTTCCGTAATGCGCATATGATCAAAAAATTAATGTGTTCTTTCCAGAAATGATCCGCATCATATATATATATATATAT